AGACATTCAACCGGTTAGAAAAGCAGAATAAACGAAGAAAGAACTCAAGATAATGTATGTGGAAGAAGAGGGACCGCATACTAAACCGGACACCCTCAGGGAGACCTATGTGGCAGCCTTGCAAACTCAGAGACCGAAAGCAACCACAGAGGATGGTCTGAAATGAAAACTGTTTAACTAAAAGCAGTTTATGGCGGGTAATCATGTCCTAGGCCAGTATCTTCCCCAAAAAAGGTCAATCTGTACCTTAACCCAGCCTGTCTGTTGTCTTTTTGCATCTATGATAACGTATCTTTGGAATGTCAAGGTACTTTCCTTTTTCCAGACCCCTCGAAGCACAGGCACCGCTCTGTGGAGACCACAAATCCCTTCAGTGATTGAGTTAATCGCTGACTGTTAACTATCCGGTGCCCACCCAAGTAAAAGAAGTGTGTGTCTATCACTTTATTTTTTATCCAATCCCAGAGATCCTCCCCACTTTGCTCCCTCCCGCCTCCCTAATCTATCACCAAAGGACTTAATGTAACCCACTTACGTCTCCTCTTTTGATTGTAATGCATAAAACAAGGTGCAAAACTGCCACTCCCCCGAGCATTATCTCAACAATCCATTGACATTTTACTTCCCAACAATTGTCAACGTTTTGGCTCAAATAAACTCATAAAAATTCTCTATAAATTTAAATGGTTCTTACCTTGACGTGTAATACCTCTGAATTTAAAGATAAAGAAGTCCTCATGCTCTTCAGTGAGCAAGACCAACAATATAACAAATACTTAGGTGGAGCAAATTGAAAGAAGCCCCAGATTTTATGTCCTTGCTTTCACTGATTCTCTCACCAAAATTCCCTAATGATCACTTGTTGCTCTCCCCATCCCCAGAACATGAAATTCAAAAGATAATGGAATTTATATGTAAGAAGTTAGATGAAGAGACTGAAAGAATTGCTCAGGACGCTTCATTTGAAAGTATAAAGAAAAACCCAGTGGCGAGCTACACACCATTGCCCTCTGGTGTGGACCACTTCATCTCCTCGTTGATGAGAAAAGGCACTTAACCAACGACCACGAGCCTCATGAGAACAAGACTGTTGCATAACTAGTATTTCAGGAAAGAATATTAATATATTCATTTAATTTTTAACGATATCTGTGCTCCCAATAATTCTGAGGCTTTCTCAAAATATTCATTGAAAGGAAATAGATTGCTATGTGTATTTGTTGTAAAAATCAGTGCTCTTTATTTACTTCTAAAATTTTACTTCAAGGAAAAAGCATTGAGAACAGACTTCCCATACGATCTCTCAGGTATGACTTCACTGTCATTCAGGGACTGTGGGGGACTGGAAGAATTCCTTCTCTCACAGAATGAGAGATCCAATGAAAACTGCAAGAGGAAACTGGCTGACATTTCCCTGACCTTCCAAATACAACTCTGAAGGGGGGGGG